CCTCTCTCTCTCTCTCTCTCTCTCTCTCTTCTCTCTCTCTCTCTCTCTCTCTCTCTCTCTCTCTCTCTCTATCTATCTATCTATCTATCTATCTCTTCTTTTCGTTCTTGCTGTAAAGGCTCGTTGATCCTTGGAGATCAACGAGATCCTGCGGCCACCTACGATCATTGTTCAGACCAACGGCCATTCCAGGTCAATTCCACGGGTCCCGTGGAGAAGCCGCCTTTGCGAGACCTCGCCCTCCTCCTCGCTCCCCCCCCCCTCCCCTCCCCCTCCCAGATGACGAACGACACGCTGACTCCCGTAAATTTTCAAACTTCCTCTTCCTGCATTATGTATAGCCGTCCAAGTAGCGTTTTCAAAGCTTGGAAAAGCAAGCAATCGCCACGGATCGAGAGATTGAAAACCGACCTTTTTGCCGACACACGCCACTGATTTATATACAGGGGGCCGAAAAACGAAAGGGAGGTGGTGATCCATCTTGTGCCTCGTGCAAAAAAAAAAAAAGATTTCGCAACTTCGATCCTTGTGAACAAGGTATCACTCGTCGATAGTGATGTCGATGGAAAGGTGAAAAATATGAGAAGAATTTTCTTTATTATATTTTACGATCATTCGAGTCGAGTGTTCCATGTATTTGCGTTTTCTAAATTTCTGCTTAGCGCCCCTCTCTCCAATAGGCCAGTTTCAAAGATGAAGAAATTTAAATCCTTTTTATACCAAATACGTAAGTAAAGTAAAAATGAGACAAAAAAGATTTCGTTATTACGCAACGATCCTTGTATGCTAGTGATTTTATATGAGAAAATTTTCTTTTATATTTTACAATCAGCCTCGATTTCAAAATTAAGAAAGTTACGATCGAGCGAGCGTGATCTTCGATACCTCTTCATACGAAATACATAGAATCATCGTAAAATAAAACGAGAAACAATGTAGCATGGAGCGCTGTCGCGATTCCACAATACGACGAGTGGTAACCGCAGATGGTAAAGTAGGATAAATAAAAAAAATAGGGGGGGAAACGAGGGACAAACATTAATTATCTTAATTAAAAAGCAATTTTTCGCATTCCCGTGGAAAAAATTGAAACTATCTTGTCGAGAGAACAACGGGTAAACCAGGTTGGGAGCCGATATCATTATGCGTTTCCATTCGCGGTATCGTCAAAAGAAGCAATTGACGAAATGAAAGTTGACGGGAAATCAAATTGAGTGGCTCGTAGTGTTTCTTCGCCCGGTGCTTTTGTTTAAACGAATATTATTCGCTCGTCATCGAGTATCAATTTCGATCGTTCCTCTGTGTACTCTCGAATAAAAAAAAAAAAAAAAAGAGAGAGCGAGGATAGAAATTCGAATGCTTTCGGATCGATTCGAACACGGACAAAGGGATCCCGATGATTCTTTTCAACCCTCCGTTAAAATTAGCGAAACCTATATTCGCACGAGACGGTATTAACTTGTACGAGCGATTCTTTTTTTTTTTAAAAAATTTGACTCGCAACGATTTGACATAAGCATTAATGTAATCAATATCTGGTATAATCGGTTGCCAGGTATCGTTACTAGCGGCCCCGGGCTACGCTCGATAAAACCACTGTAACAACTAATCCACTAACTTTTATACTTTCTCACCTGTATAATATATAGCGCGAGGTGTGGAGGGCTCGATTAAAAAATTGCACGTCGCCGACGCGGGATGATGATGGCCGCGTGAAAATCGATAATCCTGTAAATCGGGAAAAAAAAAAATTATGAGATTTCTCGATGATAGTTTATCAGGGATCATTGGTTAATGCGCGAGAATTAACGAGCGATTAATCGATTAATTAGGCCGCGACGACGAAAATAAAGTTAGAAGGAATGTGACCAAACGATTTCGAGGGAGATACGTTCCTTTCGTCAAATTTTAAACGTTGCCTTAAAACGGTGTCCTCCAATTTTCCGTAACGCGTGTATTTGGGTCAAAAGTGGGCGGGTTAATCGAGGAAAAGCTCTACGCGATGCTTTGCATAAAAAGGAGGCATAATTTTTTGCGCTGGATAAACTTTTTTTTTTTTTCGCATCGAGAGTTTCGACTCGCATCTCACTGTAAACCTTTCTGCGCGAAAAAGTTGCTCATTTACGTAAATACGCGCAATAATATCTTTCTCATTACGAAATGCGAATGATACTTGGTCGTAAATATGTGATAAATTATTCAGTTTGACAATTTATTACGAGATTTGTAAATAGCTTTATTCGAAGAAATTCTTCGTATGGAATTTTTTATTATTATCGGTCGCCGATCTCCATTAAGGTTGAACAAAGAATGACGTTATCTGAGAAGAATGCCTTTTTTGAGAAAAGTTTGGCTCACACTTATAATTGTATATTTTTGACCCACTTCAGCCTGGCTGCACCAGAACCCGATCCCAAGGGTGACATACTCCAGAGACACGGCTGACTCATTCACGGCAATCAACATTATTCTAATTCGAAAAATTTTCCTCTAAATTAGGCGTTTCGTGAGTCAGACACTGATCGCGATATTATTGATTATTATCGTGTCCCAAGAATCTGTAATTCTCCCAATTGAGCTAGGAAGTTTTACTTGTAAAGAAATTGTGAATAAGTCGTACTCTGATCGCTGGATACAATAAATGGATAGTTTTCTTCTAAGACCACGTCGTGCCCTGAAATCATTGATGGGAAAAATTTAATAGTTACGAACGAAAAATTACGAAGTTACGAATAAAATTGTTTCAATAATTTATCGTTCAAAACGTAGTAGAATAATCGCAAATAAATATAGCCAAAAGACGAGGTTATATAAAAAGCAATGAATAAGCGTTATTCAAATATTTTGATAAGTAATCACTTAAAATAACTTTATTCGAAATTTTTAACTTTTCAACGTTAATAGCCAACTTTGTCAGATACGATTCTTTTATAGACACGCGTACCGCACTTGTAACCGCTTATATAGTCCACTCATCTTTAAGAAATATACCACTTGTTACGACATCTGTCGAGCATTTTACAAACATCCATCTATTAGCTTCCACTCACCATCAGCATTACGATATTACGAACACTATATTTATCGAGTGCAACTTCTTTCCTTCGTACTCTATTCCAAGCTTCTTTTTAGTTTCGTTTTTTATTCATTTTTCTCCGTAGATATTATCATTTATTACGAAAGTAAAAAGAAACTTTTGATGAATTTTGATAATGAAAATACAGTGGATCGATGTATACCATCGTATACCACATTATTAATAATAGAAAACAATCGAGTTAAAAGCAACGAGGGAACAGACGTAAATTGCCATACGGACCGCCA